TTCCACCAGAGAATACAGTCTAATAGATTGGTTTTCCGACTTTCAAAAGGTTTTGGACTTAAAATCCATTGCTTTTTGATTCAAATTCTGTAGTTTACATTTCTTCTTTAAATTGCAAGCTGAGTTTTTGCCACTTCATTATATTTCTAAATAAATTACTTATCCTTTAAAAAAATGCTTTATAAGTACAAAAGAAGGTAATGGGAAAAAGGTCAATCATAAGTGTGATAACTTTGAAATGTGCCAAGTTACAAAGGGTTAGCTACGGTGACAGCCAAGTTAAACAAGGCAATTTGGGGGCTCTTTCTCTCTGGTTCCCACCATTCCTCTCCAGAGGTCCCTGGTATGGGTTATGAACACCTGAGGGCCCAGATATCCTAATTGTGCCTTGTGTTTAACTTGGCCATTTAAATGACTAAGTGCTCCCCTCTCTCCTTCCCGGCTTTATAACTTGGCTTTTACTGAATATATCACACCTTTATGTAGTGGACTACTTTTTCCTTCTTACAGTGCATTTTGGAGTAAATGTCAAAAAAAAATTGTTTGTTATCAGGTAAAATGGCTGAGAAACTTCCATCAGAGAAGCACCACAAGAAATAGAATAAAGAGACAGCAAGAAAAATAGAAATAGGTCACAACTGACCAATTTGATGCAACTGATTTGCTGCCTCTAAAAATAAGCTGACAGCAGAACTATTTTCAGGTAGGTAATCTACTCAAATACCATGTCTACTCTCAGGAATTGAGACAAATATCCAAATAATACAAACGGGATAGAAGGGGTGACTTATTGAATTGTCTGACCATCCACACCTCTAAATATTAACTTTAACTCTCTTTCATTAAGCAGAAGGAGTTATGCTGAAGATTCATAGCATAAGTTTCTCGACTTTGTATGTGGGGCTACAGCTTTGAGAGGCAGGAGGGGAAAGGAGATCCATATATATCTAAACATATTTTGCAGCTTTCACAAATAGAAAAATAAGTCTTTTTGGTATTTAACAGGGTTAATGCACTTCAGTGGAGATAAACAGACCAAGCAGGGCAAACCATTGCAGCCAGAAATATGGCAGCCACTCTCAGGAGTTGGGTTATTAGGACAGTTACACTAAAGTTTGCTACAAACAGAAAGCCCTGCATAATTTCTTAATATAACTATTCCTTCAAAATGCCGCATTTATGAGAATTCACGAAATAAATTCAACCGTTCATAGAAATTTCTTGGTAGTCTGCATTTTAAAGCATTTGGTTGAAAATAAAAATGCCAAACTTACTGTCATTTTGTTTTAATGCTTTTACCTGCCTTATGTAAACTACTCCTTTGAGACATGAGTTTCAAATTATGTTATCAAAAGTGACAGCCATATCAGAAATATCTTTTAAACCTTGTTTGTTAAAGAAATAGTATGTAGAAAGAGACAAGTTAGAAACTGAATGGAGAACTTTGTGTTTTATTTAGAAAGGCATATTGAATTTGCATGGTTTCCAATGCATCCTTCAAGTTGATTATAAAGTAATCTGCATGGTTTGAAAGACTGTCATTCGTCTAATAAAATCAGAATGTTTATCTCTTAATTGCAAAACTAGTAATCAGTTCTTCACAAACGAAGAAACTTAAATCAGGACTGCCTTTCTATAGCTGCTGACAGCAAAGTGTTGCTCATTGCTTATTATTATTAATATCATGCCAGAATATTGTCATAATCACCTCTCCGTGGCTTTTCTATGATCCAGGTGTGACCTTCTGAATAATATAATGAACAGAATCCACATACTCAGAACACTCCTAAAACACATTTTGAAAAAATGGAGCCCCTTCCAAGAATACACAGGGAAATCAAAAGCCTGAAGGCTAGGTATCTAACGACAGCCACGCAGAATGCTATTCTCTTCTTCAAAACCACTACTAATATCACAATTACTCATTTGACATAGTCATCTAAATATGTATTTTTCCAAGCTAATGCATACCCTGAAGAAAAATAATCCTGCTTTTCAGTGAGGACTGTACTATTTTTATTCGTCTTCAGCTTCTCACTCCCAAAGCCCAGCCGGCCCACCTGAGGCCATTCCCTCCTCTGGGAGTTGTCCAAACAGCTGATAGCGGAGAACACTACAGTGTTCTGCGCCCACACAGAAAATGGAAGCCTGTTCTTAATGTAGATATTTTATTTAGAGTTTGGCAGTTGAAACCCAGAAGCTATGTCTTCATGGAGAAGTTATTTGGATAATGTTGCAACATGACCATAAAACAAAAGAATATGATCGCCCCTTTACTCATGTGCACTTGCGATTTGGGGGTTATTAACCTAAGAACCGCACCGGTCCCAGGTATTTTGCAGTTCGGCTCATCCAAGATTGCCCAGCGCATACCGCCAACTGACGGCTTCACCTACCCGCCCATCAAATCCTACTTGCACGAGAAAAAATCCTCTTTAGCAGGCACTGGGACACATGGATTCAAAGTCAACAGAACTTTCGCTGTGAATTCATTCCCAAGGCAGGTGAACTGAATGCTCAGAAGCTGAGGAGGAGCAAAACTACCAATTGTGCAAACTTGGATAAACTTTTAAAATAAAACGCCTCCCAAATTCCTGCACGAGGTTTCAGAAGCCTTTTGGAGCCCTTTACAGCGGACTGACACTCAGCGCTACCCTAGTCAACTCGCGAAGTTCTTTCCGAGTGACTAGAACAGGTTTTTCCTGGCACTTTCTAAGGAAGCAGAGTGTCTCCCCGCAAGACCCCCGACGCGCGCGCCGTCCACGGTTACCGTGACACCCGCGCACGCCTGTGGCTCTTATGTTTTCACCACCCACACTCAGATCTTGCAGGCCCTGGGTCTAGGTTTTCCCAGAAAATGTGTGGCCCACGTGGACGTAAGCCACCACGAACAGTGTCAACACACGTCAATGACTCCCCTCGTTTTCAGACTGAAACTTGTGCGCTTCGGCAGAAAGGCCGGCGTTCCGACCTGCGAGGCCCTCCCCTCGTCCCTTCCCGGGAGAAGAAAGGGCTTTGTGTGTGCGGCGAGGGCTCCGTTCATCCAGTTCAGACGCTCGGCGGCCGGGGGCCGGCAGGCGTGGGGCGCCGGGCTCTGCCCACCCCCTCGCCCCGGGCCGGCGGCGGAGTCGCGAGACTGGGCGGCAGGAACCGGGGCCACCGG